CATTCCACTTTTCATGTGTCTTCTCTAGAATATCAGTCAACTTCAGAGCTGGATTCTCTCTAACACATGTTTGAATCTTCTTGCCCAACCATTTTGAATTCATGAGCCTAATCTTATAATCCCTACTGCATGTATGGTTATCCACTATAGTCACAGTTGGTCCCCATATTCTCCTCAGTTTCCTCAATTATTGTCCCCTCTTCCACCAAATCTTCATCCATTGTGGTCCCATCTTGAGTATTTTTCAGTTCAGGCTCTTCACTAACCAAATCTTTACCCATTTTGGTCCTACTTTGATTATTTCCTACTTCATTCCCTTCACCAACCACATTGTTGTACCCCAAAATTTGCCCTCTCATTCTACTCAAGACATGTCCATTGAGATCCCCAACTTACCCTAGGATGACTAAGAATTGACCAGGCAAACTCTCCCCCTAAAGGCAATGAACCTCAAACTAGGGTTTCAATTTTAATCAAGATATGTGAGTCCCAAGGATCCAAAATGTTCTCCATTTTCCTAATATGTCCTCAAGATCATCCATGCCAAATTTCACGCCTTGAACAACAAGTTTGGCCAGTCAACTGCTCAAATGCCTGAAAATCAACTATACTAGGTCAAAAGTCAATTGTGGCCTATATACAGTCAAACTTTAAGATTTTTTGGTCAACATAAACATTTTAAAGTAATTTCCATCATTTGATCAAGGGTTGATCATGATTCCTTAAGAAATGCTCCTAACTCATCAAAAGTAAAAAATGGCAAATTAGGGTTTCTATAGGAAAAGTCAACCAAACTTTGACCAGGCATAACTTTCTCATACTTTATCAAAAAAATTTCCAGCAAATCTCATTTTGAATATAATCCAATTCCCTACAACTTCTCTTCATCCCTCAAGTTCAAGAAATGATTTAGTTAAAATATATAGGCTCAGACATTATAAGTCCTTTCAAAAAGTCAACAAAACACCTTTTTGGTCAAAGCTCCTTACATGAATATGGAAGATCAAATTGAGATAAAACCAAAAAGGTTGTTTAGAGGACATCCTAAGCTCTCTAAAAAGTCCAAGAATACCCTCTTAGGATTAAAAATGAGAGAGATATGCATTGCTAAAGTTGACCAATTTTGGAAAAATGCACGAAGCCAATATTGACCAAACTTGATTTTTTTTCCAAATGGACCCATGTTTTCATGCTTGAAACTTGTTCCTAACATGGCCCACGACCTCTGAGCTCACTCGTACATTATTTCATCATTTTTATTATTTATTTTGATTTTTTATTCATTAAAATTCAAAATGAAATAAATAAATAAAATAAATAATGAATGATATGATTTGAGAATCTTTTTCTCATCAAATAAGGGGTAAGATATGCTGGAAAATCAAAGGAAAATCGTGGAGGGAAGATAAGATCAGATTTAGTCCAAAACAAGCCAAAAATCAAATAATTAGAAAGAAAATATTTCTCATCAAAGCATGGACCTTTTCTACAATTGTTGACCTAATATGATTCACTACATAAGCACATCAACCCTAGACCAAAAGGACACGCATATCTGCTACAAGAAAACCCCAACAAAGTTTCAAAGTTGTTCAAAATTGGTGCAATTGGAAATCTCCCTATCCATCCAATCTCGATCATTTCCAGCCATCCAATCGTATTCCTGGGACTCTCAGCAAACCAATCCATCCATTTTTGAAGGGCAAATCCTCCCAGAACCAACAAATCAGAACAACTCATCATGGGTAACTTCTTGAGTTTATATTGATAATCCTATGATGCATTAATCCTTTTCCTAGTTTGATTCGTATTCAGGATGATGTTTAAGGCAGGACCAACGTGAAACATGAGTGGTTTAAGGTGAAACAAAGATTTTTCCATGTTTAGGGCAAAATCTGTACCGTGCTTTGAACTAGGTGATACATGCATGCTCAATGAAAACTGAGACTGGATTCGAACTCAGGAGCATTTTTCGTGTGGGATAGGCTTTTGATTTGAAGTTTAAACTTCCAGAATTTGCAGATCATGATTTAGTGATCCCAGAGAAGATGACCGAAGATCCACTATGGCATCATGGACTTAGTTGACTCTGTTTGGAGCACGCGTGGCAGTTTGATACATTCTGATTGGTTATAGCTATTGCTGACGCGTGCGTTTGATTATTGACTAGGACTAGCGCTTATTTTCATTTATAATATTATTATGTTATTATATATATGAATGAGCAGGCAGCGCTGTTGGCAAGGGTATGAATACGTGAAGGAAGGGACCTGGGTTCGATCCCAGGTCCAGCGCTTTTCTGTTTTCTTGATATTTTCTGCAGATTCCAGTGCGTGGCTTCCTAAGACAACTATCTTGCACCCTCATGCTCAGTCATTGGATCATTCATCCTCCAGATTCAGCGTCCACTTACGCTTCCCCATGGTGGACCTCCCTAACACAACAACACCAAATCCAGCGTAGCTGTGGGCCACCAGATCTGGGCCTTGGCAAATTCAGCAGCATACCCCTAATTTTATTTTCTCACCCCTCATGCCCATTTTTTTAATTACTTTATTTTCTTTTTTTAATTAGTTTATATTTTTTTTTAATTCATTTTAAAAAAAATCATAAAATTAGAAAATCATAAATATAGGACTTAGAGTTTTTCTTAATAAAATTAATTTTTGCAAATTAATTTAATTAACTTTAATTTGTTTTCTTTAATTTAAAATCAATTAGAGATTAGGTTAAATTTCAATTTTTTATACAATATTTAATGAGCAATTAGATTTTAGGGTTTCAAATGTAGGCCAGTCTTAATTTTTACGCGTTATTATTTTTCATACGATTATTTTCTATTATATAACTGTGCCCGGTTTGTAATAGTTTAGTTAGGGTTTTTAATTTCCGCACTTTACTTTTCAGTCATTATTTATGTAACTACACCAAAGCCCTGTAATAACATAGGAATATTATTTCTCGCCTTTATATTTATTATATGCTTGTATATAAACTGTTAGTAAATTAGGCGTGCATGACAAAAATTGATCAATTAATCATTAGGTCACCAACCTCAAGATAAAATACCTGAAAAAGCACACTGTTGCACACTTGCACCCCTAGGGTATTTCCCACTTTGGTTGCCTTCGGAAATGGTCATGTCCCTCGAACATAGGGATACTCTTAACAAAGACCCTCAGTTTAAAAGTCATCATAAAGATCACGGTCCCTTAATGTCCCTCGAGTTGTCTACGAGAAATGATCTTGTCCCTCGATGTTGCCTACATGATGACAGTCCCTTCGAACTGCTAAGGTATCTCTACATGTTGCCTTCAATGACCATAAATGTCCCTTTCGATAGTCCCTCAACATCCAACGATAAGACTACCTACTCACTAATAGCAGGATAACACTATCTAAAGGAAATGAGGAAAATAACGCCTTTTTCGAGTAGGTAGATAACTCTTAAGTACTTACTCAAATCTGATTCCTTTTTACACTTACACACTTTTAAAATTCTTTTCAAAAACGCTTTATCACACTCTTGAGGACTGATACAAGAGTTATCATAAAGCAAACAAAACCTTTCAAAACACACAAACACGAAAACAGTTTTCAAAAATGAGTAAGTACCTAAGAGCCCGTGGAAAACCACAGATAGAAAGGGTGCTAACATCTTCCCTTTCCATAATCTACCCCCCTTACTCAGAAAATCTCGAAAAAGGTCTTTTTCTGTTCTTTTCACCCTTGCTTTGTTGGATAAAAGAAAAGTCGGTGGTGACTCTTGCTTACCACGACATTTGCAAACATAAACGTAAAACCAGTATAACAGTCGGTTCTGCCACCGTATCACACACATCTTTATTATTATCCAGTTCAGATCCTTCCCCCACAACTTCATCACACACAATGGTCGCATCTGGTAGTGAGAGTATAGGCTCAACAATAACATCAAGTACAGATACATGATGTGTAACATACAAATCGCATTCCCTAGTTAGCATTGTAATTGTTTTCATCCTCTCAGCCCCCTTGTCATTTTCTAACAGAATTATACCATCAACAGACATTTCATCATAATACCAAAGCTTATAAATATAAGGGTAACCTAACTCTTTTAACTTGTCCAATATTTCAAAATAACTCCAATAGTCGAGATCACAGTCCCAAATTTCCTCTAACCCTACATAACCTGACTTAGTAAAATTGACAAATTCCCTAGAAAATTCACGTGAATGATGAACATTACATTGAAACTTACTCTCCATGACCTAATCAACCAACAAACAGTGAAAGAAGTACTAAGTAAGACGGGTAAAGAAGAAAGTTAACATTTTTAGTAACTTACGATTGCAAATGCGTACCTTAGGGTTTCGTCTTCAAACGATTGATGAATGTAAATTATCTTAAATGGAGGGTTGTAAACGGCAGCGTTTTCGTCTTCAGTCGAACGTAACATGTTAATCTTCTTCAATGGAGCTTTGTGAATCGTCTTCAATGGAGCCTTGTGAATAATATTCTTGTTCTTCTCTTAAATTGTGCCCTTACAACATTAATAGTCCGTTCACATTCTTTTATTTAATAATTGCTAATGTAATATTTATAAAATAATAAAATAATCCACCTCAGCCATTAAAAGTCCAGTATCACAAGTTTTAACGTTTTTATAACAAAAACTAACAGAAAGGACTATAATACGGAATAAAATTTACAGGACCCTTCTATAACGTTTTTTCTTGAGGACCAAAATAAAACAAACATCAAAGTTAAGAGAACAAAAGAGGTATTAAGAAAAGAAAAAAATGAACTACATTTAAAAATTGAAAAATTATTTCAACAAATAACATCCATATTCATATTAAATTTATAATTAAACAACTAATGTAAAATAAAGAATGTGTTGTTATGTTATGGTCACCGCACGGACCCTATCCAGCCCGATAACATTCTCATCGCCGGTGTTGTTGCGATGATGTGAGTTTGTTTCAGTTCAATTCATTCACAGAATCAACAAGATGATGGCTTCAGCTTTATCCTCTATCATCAACCAACCTCACACTGCTCAACGCTTCAAGCTTCATTCTCCTTCTTCTTTCACTACTTTCACTTTCTTCAAACACAAATTCAAACCTTCATCTCCACGTCCTCTTCATCTCATCACACCTTCTAGAACCTTCTCCGTTTCCAATAAATCGGAAGAACCCTCCCTCCGTCACTTGATCGCTCGCGCTTCTCTAACGGCTTCCCATTTTCAACCACAGTATGTTATTTCTTTTTCCCCTTTTGGTTTTCAATTGTTCATCACAATTTACTTCAATTTTTCGTTAGGGTTTACTCAGATGTTTATTTATTGTTTGTGTGGTTAGTGTTGTTGCGGATACTGAAGTTTCTTCGACCGGTCGAATCTATCATGAGACGTATGGATGTCAAATGAATGTTAATGATATGGAGATTGTTTTATCTATAATGCAAAAGGCTGGATATAATGAAATTGCGACTGTTCCGGAGAATGCAGAGATAATATTCATTAACACATGTGCTATAAGAGAAAATGCAGAACTCAAAGTGTGGCAGAGGCTTAATTACTTTTGGTTTCTTAAGAGGAATTGGAAGGCCAATGTTGCTAATGGAAGGTCGCAATCTCTTCGTCCTCCCAAGGTGGTTGTTTTGGGATGTATGGCGGAGAGGTTAAAGGAGAAGATACTTGATGCGGATAAAATGGTTGATGTTGTATGTGGGCCGGATGCTTATAGGGATTTACCCAGGTTGTTGGAGGAGGTTGAGTATGGACAGAAAGGGATTAACACTCTTCTTTCGCTGGAGGAGACTTATGCTGATATTAATCCGGTTAGGGTTTCTAAGAATTCAATTACTGCTTTTGTTTCAATTATGAGGGGTTGCAACAATATGTGTTCGTTTTGTATTGTGCCTTTTACTAGAGGTAGAGAGCGGTCTCGTCCTGTGGATTCCATTGTGAGAGAGGTGGGGGAGCTTTGGAAAGAGGGTGTGAAAGAAGTGACGCTTCTTGGGCAGAATGTGAACAGCTACAATGATGCATCTGTGGTTGAAAAAGAGGCTGAATCAGGGTCTAATTGGAAACTTAGTGAAGGATTTTCCAGCATATCGAAGGTCAGAACCACAGGCTTAAGGTTTTCTGATCTGTTGGATAGACTCTCGTTGGAATTTCCTGAAATGCGATTCAGATTCACGTCTCCACACCCTAAAGATTTTCCAGATGAACTGCTTTATCTGATGCGTGAAAGACATAATATATGCAACTTGATACATTTACCTGCACAATCAGGAAGTAGCAAAATGATTGAGAGAATGAGGCGTGGATATACTCGAGAAGCTTACTTGAGTCTTGTGCAAAAAATTCGAAATATTATTCCAGATGTGGCCTTGAGTAGTGATTTCATTTGTGGTATGTTTTTTAAGTATCTTTCTCCTTGCTTTATTTCCGTTTCTTCGATACTCATTAATTTGACTTTCTACAATTGGAGCACCTTAATTTTAACTTTCACCCGATGAGAGTTTGGTTGGAGGGTAGGGAGGGAGAACGAGGATGTGAAAGTCTCTTCCCTCAACTCCTCTCCATAATAGTGGTAATTTGAAGAGGAGAGAATGCCGACAAGACTGTCCTTAGAATTGTTTTTAAAATAAATATCAAAACTGTTCTTATATTTGTTATTCCTAACAACTATGTTACTGAAGCTGCTTAACCTCTCCGACTTTATTTCTAAGTCATGCAAATCTCAATTCCATAACTTCTTCTAGTCAATTCAAGTTATATCAATTGTGGTGTTAAGGGTGATATATTAAGTTTTTTTTTGTTCCTTCTTTACTAATCAAAGGGAGGGGAGAGTAAATGTTATTTTTCCTGCTCCTCCCATCTGCTTCAACCAAACTAAACATGTGGATTTCATTTTCCCTCTTAATGCAGAGATGAGAATGTTAAGTGTTTTGGAAATAAAACCTCATTAATGCTCCACTTGCGTACACCTTTTTATGTTCTCCTCCGCAATTAGTTCAGGTCCATTGTATAGCAAGTAGAACAAGTTAAATGTATCTCAAAAAGTAAGTACTAACTTGATTTCTCGGTTGTAACTTGTAAATTGCATGTGTCATTTATTATCATTGTAATTTCCATGTATATAAATTAAGCAAGCATCAGTGTTAACAAACATCCGCAATTGCGGCGCTATGGCGAATATACATGACAGTTTTTAGACACGCTGCAATGGTAAATATTGGTCGATATTGCAGATTTTTCCTCCATAATCTGCTATAACGGTGCCACAAAGCGTCCGCTATGATGGGATTTTGGCTCTCCGCTATGGACCGCCATCCGCCATGGACAACCCTGGCAAGCATGCTACTGGGTGCTAAGCAGCTCATAGACTTTGTTTGAATTTGATTGGGCATCCTCTACTGTCAAGGCTTTTCACCACTAACCACCATTGATCGGAGTTGACCACCGTTGGCTAACTTTGACCAGTCTGGCCATAGTTGTTTATACTTCTCATTTGGATCATTGGCCTTCATTGAACCTTGTCTTGTTTATACTTCTCATTTGGATCATTGGCTTTCATTGAACCTTGTCTGGGAGTTGTTGACTTGTTGTACCCCTTTTTGGGGCATCCATATGTTCATTCTTGGAGTTGTTTGCTCATCCATTTGTCTGGTTGTATTTTCCCCAATATCAAAGGGTGATGAGATAGAAAGGATGAAAGTTTTTCTCAAAAGCCTATAAAATCCATTAGGTACTTTTACTGTAGATATTCAAGTATGTTTCTATTAGATAATATAATTGGAAACTAGTAGTGAAACATTTTGTAGACAAGAGTCAACACATTTAATTAACTTATTATAGATGGAGAGATATAGCATGGTGAAACCTTCAATGTTATAGATATTAACTGTCAAAGGCTTGAATACAATTTCACTAATGCTCGCCTATTTATAGGGCTTGAAGATGTTTCTAGTAGAATATCTAGGCCTTTTTTTGAATTTTCCTTATTGCTTTGTTATAGAAGTTTCTATGTTACAACTTAATCTAGACACTATTAGAACAATCTAGAAATATGTAGCAACTTTATAGACTAGAGTTCTAGTTTTCTCTAATACATTACCATTATTTTTGCAAGAATTTTCTAGAAATATGCATCAATTTCAGTGCTTCTCTTTGATGTATATTTTGGAAATTCCTAGCATAATTCTTAGTTGATCAAACATGGAGTTGTGGAATTATCTTCTCCTGATCAGTTTCAGTATAGTAATTGAACTTGAAAATATTGCATCCACCTTTATGATAGTTCTATCACACCTCTTATCACAGTAGTCGTTTGTCTCCTTGTCCGTTTGTATGAAAGCTTCTGTTCAAGACCACTCTTGCTCTTGCTCCTTAGTTTCTTGTGAGTCTCCTTATAAGTATTGTTGAAGACTTTTGGCAATGATTGCTTCTTGCTCTAGTAGTTGCATTTTTATTCCTGAGCTTGTACCCAAGTTGAACCTCAGATGCACAAATATCCATTTTGATGCATCATCTGAGTTTGTGTTCTCTGTCTGAACGTAAGCCTTGGAGACCACAAGTTTGCGACATTAGTTGAATTTGAACTTAAGAGGTTTGGACCGTTAGGCTACACGAACTACTTTCTCTCCTTTTTAATTTTGAGTTTGAACTTTGAACTCAAACAAAGTCGACTCATGTAGCTACCTTTACTCTTTTTGTGTTTGAGTCAAAGACCTCGTTTTCTAGTTTAGTAGAATAGAAGAAGCCATAATGTAACGTAGATAATTAAAAAAGTAGTGGGACAAGAGGAAATATTTTGCTACAACCGGTATATGACAGAATCCACTATGATGCCACCACTAGAAAATATAGTATAGGAACTTGTTGTGGAATGTCTAGTAACACAAGGCAACACTTTAGTAATAAATTTATTGTAGGAGGAGAAATATAGTATGATGAAGGCCTCAATGTTATTGACATTAACTCTCAAAGGCTAAAATACAATTCCACTCATGCTTGCCTATTTATAGGTGTTTGAAGATGTTTCTAGAAATAGAATAAACTAGGCTTCTGTTTGACTTTTCTACATTACATTGTTGTAGAAGCTTGTAGGTTACAACTTAGTTTAGGCATCATTAGAACAATCTAGATATATGTAGCAACTGTACAGACTATAGATTATAGTTTTTATTTTGTACTAAAAATTCTAGAAATATGCACCAATTTCAACAGTTTTTATTTGGATTTAACGTCTCAAAAACCCTTTCTATTCTTTTTATGGATGTTGAATTCCAGTGCCACATACGTATGACACATTGTTTTAACCACTTCTCCACTAGCTCCCTTGTCTCAACAAAAAGAAAATAGTTACTACATATGGAACTCTTGCAACTGTGTTGGATTTGACAAATGTCCTCCATGTCCCAAAATTCTCTACCAGCCTTGTTTTTATAGAAAAACTTGCAAAGTGTTTATTATGCACCGTGATTTCTCACTCATGTATCAGAAGAGTCCATACTTTCTCTGCCAACCTTGTTTGATGGCAGAGGGTGGTGGCCCAAATGTGTCCACCTCTCAGATAACCCCCATTTTCTCACTCATTTGTGTTAGAGCTCCACTAGCCTTATTTCCATACAAAGACTTTCCAAAGATTTATCATGCACCGAGATTTTTTACAGTGATTATTGTGAATTTCAAAAACAAGGTTCAAGGAAGACAATTGGGCGTGCTGCAAGAAATTCAAGGCGTCTAGGAAGACAATTGGGCATGCTGCAAGAAATTCAAGGCGTCTAGGAAGACAATTGGCATAAATAAGAATAAAGGATTCCTATCCAGGAAATTCAAGAGTCCTGGTCTCTCCCAATCAGTATTCAGTCCCAATTAACCGCCTTCTGATTTTTCCTTCAGTTTTCATTCAGTAACTGTCTAATCGCTAAACTGCAGCCTAATTCATAAAATAACTGCAGCCTAATTCATAAAATAACTGCAGCATGTAATATATTACTATAATAATTACCATACTAACAATATACCAATATGAATCAATATACCAATATACCAATGGCATATGAACCAGTATGCTTATTTTGGTTAGAAGTACTGAGTACACAAGATCATTGGTAATTTAGTTATATCTTCAATCCTTGTTGTTTTTTATTTCCCACAGTATTTTACTGTATAAGCAATTAGCTTTTGATTGCGGTCTTTAAATATTTGCAAATTGCAATTCTGCCAGGTTTTTGTGGAGAAACAGAGGAGGATCATTCTGCCACATTGAGTCTTGTAAAAGAAATTGGTTATGATATGGCATACATGTTTGCTTATAGCATGAGGGAGAAAACTCATGCCCACAGAAACTATGTCGATGATGTTCCCGAGGAAACTAAGCAGAGGAGGCTAACTGAACTTATTGAGACTTTCCGTGAGAGCACAGGAAAGTGTTACGACGAGCAGGTCGGAACTACACAGCTTGTGTTAGTTGAAGGACCGAACAAAAGAGCTCCAGATTCGGAACTTATAGGCAAGAGTGACAAGGGCCATCGGGTATTATTTGTCAATCTGCCAATCTCAGACAGGGAAGATGTTAATACAAAGAGAAATCCTGTGGTTGGCGATTACGTTGAAGTCCGGATAACACGATCTTCAAGGGCATCACTCTTTGGCGATGCACTTGCTATTACTAAATTGAGTTCATTTTACAATAATCTGGAAAAAGAGGCTGTTGCGTGCAACATGTAAAAGTAAAACCTTGCTGCATAAACAGTTTGCAGTGGCAAGTTTTGGATATACTCATCGAAAATTGCTTTATCCCCTTGCATTGATGACTAAGTCGCAGTTTATGGGAAAAAGGATGCTACTACGCAAGAAGTGAGATTATGCATTTACCCGCAAAAATGGGTCGAGTCTGCATCAAACTATACACTGTACCTGCAATGTAACATTAAAACCAAATAGCCTAGGGGGAGGATTGCTGTGATTTGTCTGTAAACATTTTGATATAAATGGGCTTTGGTGGAGCACATGGAATATTTAATGTGGCCTTTGAACAATCATATCAATTTGTTCCCAAATTTTTTAGGAATCTAGTTATCATATTCAATAAACTATCTTATTGAACAGCTTATGATTATCTGATTGGCCTACTGTTCCTATGTCATTTTCTCAGCTGCATGATGGGAAACGATTTGAAAACATTTGGATCAGCTTGTTTCAGATTATCTTGTGGCATAGATACTTGTGTAATAGCATGTTTGGATTGATTTTTGCAAGACTTAGAATCAATTTTAGAGGTGTAGAATTGATTCTAGGTGATTTTGAAGTGTTTGTTTTATCAAAAATAGAATTCATTCTGTCTCTATAATTGATTCTACTTGAAGCTAGAATTTGTAACTTCTAACTCTAGAATTGATTCTGAGTGATTTTTATATTAAAACTTATTGTTCAACTCATTTTTATATAAATGTATTCAAACATAAATCAATTATGTTAAATTCAATTATATTAAAATCAATTCTATCAAATTCAACTATGTTAAAATCAAATATGTTCACTACCAATTCAAACATATTTTAAAGTGTTTTAAAAAAAGATTATAAAATAATTTTTGAGATGCTTATAACCGGCTGCTATCGTATTTTCAGAAGCTATCCTAGGTAATGGTACTAATGTAGGTTACTTTATGAAAATATTATCGGTTTTTATATTCTCAAATTGATGTTTATTTCAAATTGTTAACCAGATAGAAAATTTATGTCGTGAATATTTGTTAATATAAGGAAGTGGTAAGCAAACTAAGAAGAATGTATTTTAAAAAAAATAAAATAAAATGTTACGTGTTTTTAAAAATTGTAAAATATGACAATGAGAGAGGTATTTTCTTGTTTATTAGTTGAAAGACAAGATATAAGCAGAAAACAGAGGAAGTAATTGGGTCCTTAATATTATAAGTAATTTTTAAGTATATGCAGCAGTGTTTATAGCTATCGTTATTTTTTTTTTAAATGCACTTTTAGTTTTTATAGTTTGAATTTTTTTTAAATTTTAATATCTCAATTTTAAAAATTAGTTTTTATTTTTAATTTTATCTTTGAACTTCACTTCCCTTAAAATTTCTATGACCCCACCCCCCCTCCACCAACGAAGAACACAGAGAACCCTAATCCAATTTTTGAAGACCGATTCAAACATCAAACTCATAAGCGCTTGAAACGAAGACTCATGCTGAAGTTAGTCAACTTAATGCTGAAGTGAATAATGAAAGTTAAAGTTAGTGAGCGTAATGCCGAAGTGAATAATGAACAAGTTGAAGTGAATGAGTTTAATGTTTATTTGAATGATGAACATGCTAAAGTGAATAATGAGGATTATGTTGAAAGTGAGTATAGTGAAGATAGTGAAATTAATAAGGTCGGTGAAGATTATGAAGAGATGGTGTAACACCCTTCTAAAATCCCACGAATATTAATATTATAATTAATGAATTAGAGTAATGCACCAAAAAGATGTCACATACTTCATAAAATATCATACATGCATCTCTTGCTCCGTAACTCGAGCTTTTTAATATTTATAAACATTTTTTTTTGGAATATCAACATAATGGTCATTTGCTATGCATGGTATCATCACAACAACATCAATTCATCATACAAACATACATCATGTTACATCAATTGCATAATCACATCAATTCATCACAGTATCATCACAGTTCATCATTTACACATATATCCTAATAAACCAATCACAAAATCATTCAATTCATCAAAGAATAGGTACTGGAAATATACCCCATTTTCTCATTTAATTCTACTTAATTATAGTTTATCCCTTTAGCTATCCAACGCTTCGAACGACGCGTCAAACGGAGTCCGGAAACTCAAGTTACGATACTTTTAAGATTCCGCCATCAGCTCCTCGTCTGAGGCTCGCCCAATGAAGCAGTTTGCTCGCCCGATGAATCAGGGGCAAAACGCCTTCCCCATACAAAATTCAGGAGTACCTCATTTTTCTCCCTTCCTTCGCCTCCTTGCTCGCCCTACGAGCTCACCCTCGCCTCTGCTTCTCTTGACGAAGTTGGGGCGAGTCACCTTCCACCATACAAAATTTCAGGGGCTCTGATTTTCACCCCTTCTCTTCTTTGATTCGCTCTCGTCCGGCGGATCAGGGACGAGGTGGCTTCGCCTGACAAAGCATCCGCTCGTCCTACGAGACACGCGTGACAACAACTTTGCTGTGCATTTTCTGCACAGTCCAGTCCCAATTTTTCTTGCGATTTCACATCCAAAAAAACCCAAAACTCATACAAACCACATATTTCTAATATACAACAACAACACTTCATATTACACATTACATACATTAAATCATGGCATTATTAGCATCCATTATTCACAATTTCATCAAAGATTCATCATATATCAAATCATCACAAACCCCAATAAACTTACATATATCTAAACCCTATATCAATCATAATAATAAGGACATCCCTCTTACCTTAGATCCTAGATTTTATCGTCCTCTTTGTGTTCTACCGTAAATCCATTTGTTCTCCTCCTTCCCTAACTCTATTGCGTTCTTCCAACTCTTTTCACGATGTACACACTAATACACTTTTCTCTATATTCCTTGTTTAACCCTTGGACCATTTCTATTGTCTTCCCATCTTACCCTCACTAATCCTCATATTATTACCACTTTGTCCTCTTCATCTCTACATCATATTATTATCTCTATTTTTATCCAATTAAAATAATTCTAAATAATTACTCTAATTATCTAAAATTATTAAAACACCCAATATCACTTAATTCCTACCATACCATACATTGCATCATAGCTCACATCATATTCATCAAAACATCACATAAACTCACCAATACATCACAATTACTCATTTTAATACAATTAAATAATTAAGTAAACAATCTAATTATTTCGGGGTGTTATAACTCTCCCTCATTTAAAATAATTTCCGCTCTCGAAAATTACCTGGAGGAAACAAAATCGGATAAGACTCTCTCATCTGATCTTCGCGTTCTCAAGTCCAACTTTCACCAGCTGGTCCATCCCAGAATACCTTCACCAAGGCAATGTCTTTACCCTGCAATTGCTTCACTTCCCGACCTTCTATCCTCACGAGTGATGCTTCAACAGTCATATTATCTCTCACTTGTACATTATCTATTTGAATCACATGTAAAGGATCCAGAATATATCTCCTCAACTGGGATACATGGAACACATCATGAAGATTTGCAAGCGACAACGGTAAAGTAATCTGATAAGCCACCTCACATATCTTCTGGGAAATCTGATATGGACCAACAAAATACGGTGTAAGTTTTCTCAACTTTAAAGCTCTATCAATATCAGTTATCAGAGTAACTCTCAAAAACACGTGATCTTGCTTTTGGAGTTCAAGCGCCTTCCTCCTCTTATTGTGATAACTCTTCTAATGACTCTGAGAAGATTTCATTCTCTCTTGGATCATCTTTATCTTTCCAGTCGTTTCCTGCATAATCTCAGGTGTGAGTACAACACTCTTGCCTGACTCATACTAACACAATATAGTTCTACACCTCCTACCATACAATACTTCATACAGTGCCATTCCAATACTAGAATGGAAACTATTATTATAGGTAAATTCAATCAACTACAAGTGACTATCCCAAGCTCCTCCTTGTTCTAGCACACAAGCCCTCAACAAATATGACTATGACTTTAAGAGTCTATCAGATTTATTGACTGCAAATGCACAGTCTAATCGCGTAGTTTTAAAAGATATTGAATCCACAGGGACTGATAATCAAACTAATGTCATCTAATGTTACTGTGTAAATCTAAGGCTAATGATTAATCTTGGGTTTGATAAAAATGGGAAATAAATTCTAACTTAATAAAAATATTCAATGACGAGACACCGGTATGTAACTTATCGTACTTCGGGGATTCGATAAAATGTTGGCGTGTCAAAATACTTTTATGTAGAAAACCTTGATTTAAAAGATTTTATCTCACACTGTTGTGCTATTGACTCTGACTATACTCTTAACCCAAAATGTTTTGATGTCGCTCACTCATTTTAATTAAAAGTAATTTTTGAAAATCAATAATTTCTAATTAATCCTAAAGCGTTGTCGCTGTGTTTAGGATTAATGCCTAATTTCTACTATCTGACTAAAATCTTAAACTGTCGCTTTGATGACCCTAACCTTTTCTAGTTTTTTTTACTCTTGTAGAAAAACTGTTTTTATTTTTAAGTTACAAACAAAAACCAGAAAAATAACTTATAACAAATAACGCCAATTATCGTCGAATCCCGTTCGTACAACTTTTGTTATATACCGGTATCTAATTATTTAGTCGGACATGGTTCTAAACACTAACATACTAGTATGATTATTAAACAATAAAAAACATTATTTTAGAAAATATATCAATACTGAGATAAGATTAAAATGAGAATCAAAACTAAAACTAAAAATGCAATAAACATAGAACCTGGAATAAAATTGAATCTGATTAAATTCTGGAAAATATCTCTGCGTACAAAGACTCGGAAGCAATTGAAATTATGTCGACACACTTGAAGAATCCAGTACAGAATTGAAAATAAAAAGTTCCTAAATCTAGAGTTGTGATAGTCCCCCGATGTGGAAGAGCTATCACTATTTACGAGTAATTTAACTGCCTAAAAATTCTAAGAACAAAGCTCTGGCTGGTAAAAGATG